GAACGGAGGGATGCTTAATAATGAAATAATACCGCGGATGTTTATAGCATTAAACATTATCATTGTTTGCTGGAATATGGGAATGCTCCCAGTTTGCTGGGAGTTTTCCAGGCATTTAGAAAGGGATGCGTTTGCTCTGAGGAGCTCATAAAAACGATGCTTTTAACTCAAAACAAGAATCCCGAAGCGTTTCTCGGCCGCTTCTGGGCTGTCGCGCACCGGGGCACGCCAAGGGTGATGCAGCTGCAAATTTCCCGGGATCTGGGTTTTTGTGTGGGTTTGCGGCACGCAGAGGAGACGGGAGTTGGATGGTGGGTCCGGACCAACCCGGCGGTGCGTTTTGGGGCAAAATCCACCTATTTGCTTCGTTTGCCCAGACCCACAGTCGTTGCCACCAAAAAAGCCTTTTGGGGAAAAAGATTCTCCACCTCTGTAGGAAGCATCTCTGCCTCATTTTTTTCCTCCTCCCCTGCAAACCTCCTCTCCTGCCTCCACTGCCCGAGTGATGCCACTGGCTTTTCCCACCCCTTTTCCTAGCGGATGCCAGAATCGGGGAGGCGGGTGGGAGCGGGGAGGCTGCTCCAGGGTCCCAACAACTGTGAAAAGCGGCTTTGGTGGCGGCTGGCAGGGAGGCCTGATCCTGTTTATCCGAGCTCAAGCCTTATATTCTCATGGCTTTTTGACTAGACATCCAGTCAACAGCTGAATCCCGCAGATGGAAGAGACTCTGGCATATTTATACTGTGTGCTGGCATTGGCCCCTTAAAAAAAAAAAAAAAAAAAAAAATACCTGGTATAAAAAAAAAAAAAAAAAAAAAAATATCCTGGATTACCTAAGACTTGTCCTTGAGGTCTGGTCACCCCATGTCATTGAAAAACCGAGTGGGATTCATTCATGAACTTCCAGCCCTCCATAAAGGTCTGTTCATTCATAGCCAAGGCAGTTTTCTTTTTTTTTTTAAGCTTTTTTTTTTTAGCTTTTTTTTTTTTTTAAATGCGCTGGCAATTAAATAACTCTTTGTAAGCGGCAATGAGCTACTCGTTAAGTGGTCTTCACTAATGCAAGCACAAATATCAGGTGAAGAAGTCTTTTTTTTTTTTTTTTTTCCCCCCACCCCCCCCTGAAAGGGATGCTGTTGTGTTCAAA